CGCCCGCCCTATTCCTGTTGCTGTTGGCGTTGGAGCTGCTCTTCCCCCTCCTCGCCTCGCCTTCCTTCTCTTCTCTTCTCTTCTCTCCGGCTGCCGTCCGTCGGTCGGTCAAGCGCCGTGCCTGCCGACAGGTCGGGGGTTTGGTTTGGTTTGGTCTGGTGGTGGCGATTTTGGAGCTCGGAGGCGGCGAAATTGTGGGCGACAGGGCGGAGCGACCGGCGAAAGCGCGTGGCTGTTGGCCCCCTTCTGGTCCGGTTTGGTTTGGTTCCGGGGCATCCAATCCTCCAATCCGGGCGCGGCGGCAGCTTCCTCGACCACGCTGTGTCCGTGCGGCGTGGATGCGGTGCGGAGGGGGCGCGTGGTGGCGGCGGCGGCGGGGGAGCCACTGCGGCGGCGCTGGCGATGTAGCCGAATGACCGGCGCTGCTCGCTCGGCACGAGGCGGCGGGGAGGGGGCCGCCGGGATGGAGGGGAAGGGCGCGGTGGCGGCCGGGCTGGTGGGGTTCCTCGGGATGGGGCTCGACAGGGTGCGGCTGCCGCTGCCGGAGAAGCTGTCGGCCAAGGCGCTGCGGAGCCACGTGCGGGGGCACGGCTCGCGGGAGGCGCGGGAGCGCTGGTGGCGCTGGACGCTCTTCCTCTGGGTGGTCGGCTGGACGCTCATCTGCCTGCAGATCTTCCACTACTTCGACTCCGGCGCCGTGGAGAAGCGCCGGGAGTCGCTCGCCAGCATGTGCGACGAGCGCGCCCGCATGCTCCAGGACCAGTTCAACGTCAGCATGAACCACCTCCAGGCGCTCGCCATCCTCGTCAACACCTTCCACCACTCGCTCAACCCCTCCGCCATCACCCAGGTACGGCACCATCAATCTTGCTCTGCTCTCCGTCCCGTCTCCCATGGCGGTGATGCCGGAAAGTGAAGCCGATTAGTAGTAACTAACCCTGTTCTGTCCGGCATGCCCGCAGGCGACGTTCGCGAGGTACGCGGAGAGGACGGCGTTCGAGCGGCCGCTGACGAGCGGGGTGGCGTACGCGGTGCGGGTCACGCACGCCGAGCGGGACCACTTCGAGCGGCAGCAGGGCTGGAGCATCAAGAAGATGTACTCCTCCCCCAACTCGCAGGGCCCCGGCGACGCCGCCGTCGCCGAGATCCGCGGCCCGGCCGACGAGTACGCCCCCGTCATCTTCGCGCAGGACGCCTACAAGAACGTCATCTCCTTCGACATGCTCTCCGGCGCTGTGCGTGACCATTAATTTACTTGCTTGCTTTCCTATCCCACACAAAAAATCTCGGTGCCTTCGTTTTCCCCCCCACTCCCAAGTCTCACGCTAGCTAAGCTAGATTTATCCTTTTTAGCCTAGGCCCGGCCGGCCGTATAAAGCTGCACCTCTCGGTGCTCCTCATGTGGTTTTACAGCTCAGCCCAGCCCAGCCAGCGCTGCTGCTACTAGCAGTGTTTTACCACTGACAGTGAATGATTTTTTTTACCAACTTACGGTGTGGTCACTTGTTAGTATCTTGGGATTCTTCTACTCCGATGAGGAATAATCGTTGGTTCTGAGTTAACATTGTTTGATGCTAACAGAAGTGCATTTGGCTTGCTTTTCTGCAGGACGATCGCGAGAACATAATACGAGCCAGAGAATCCGGGAAGGGTGTTCTAACTGCTCCTTTCCAGCTGCTCAACGGCCGCCTCGGCGTGATCTTGACGTACTCCGTGTACAAGTCCGAGCCCCCCGCGAATGCGAGGCAGCAGGAGCGCGTCCAAGCCGCCATAGGGTAAAGTCTGCATCAGAGCATCCTATTCCAGCCATATGTGAGTATGCAACAGAATCTCTAACTGGCTGCTTTTTGCTTGCAAGCAGCTATCTAGGTGGCATATTTGACATAGAAGCGCTCGTCGACAAGTTGCTTCATCAGCTCGCGGGGAAGCAGTCCATCATGGTGAATGTGTATGATACTACCAATGACAAGCCGATCAGCATGTATGGTTCGGATGATACAGGCAGTGGGATGTACCATAATAGCACGCTCAACTTTGGCGATCCATCTAGGCGGCATGAGATGCATTGCAGGTGATTGATTTGTCGCTCTTGCCTTTTATCGACTCTGCAGTATGGATACATTCGACGTAGTACTGCCCATGTGTCCTGTTCTCTCCCTTCTTCTCTGTAAAACACAACAACTGTTCATGTGACATATTCCTCTTCAACAGGTTCATGCAAAAGCCACCATTGCCATGGCTTGCAATAACATATTCGTTAGGGGCTTATGTGATTGCTTTGCTCATTGGACATATATTTTATGCTACTGTGCATCGTATCGCAAAAGTTGAAGATGATCTTCAAATTATGAAGAAGCTCAAGAAGTGTGCGGAAGCTGCAGATGTTGCCAAGTCACAGGTTAGTAATCTCTCTACACAACCTATACTGCTTGTCTAACTGATTTTTTTTTCTCATTCCATGCCCTTCTTTTGCTTGTTTGCAGTTCCTGGCTACAGTTTCACATGAGATCAGAACTCCAATGAATGGGGTTTTAGGTAAGTGTGTGATTGATCTAATCCATAATGTATACTCCATTATTTTCTGACTGAAGGGATTTAAGCAATCGCCACTTTTTTCAGGAATGCTCCAAATGCTCATGGATACTGATCTGGACGCAACGCAGCAAGACTATGTTAGAACAGCCCAAGCCAGCGGAAAAGCTTTAGTGTCCCTCATAAATGAGGTTCTTGATCAGGCGAAGATAGAAGCTGGCAAACTCGAGCTTGAGGCAGTGCCCTTTGATCTTAGACTAGTCTGTGATGACATCTTGTCTCTCTTCTGTGGAAAAGCTCAGGAGAAAGGACTGGAGGTAATTCCAGAGTAGATTCTTGCAGTGCAGTTTTGGTGTATTTTGTTGGAATGCACTAACCATTTTCATTTTTCATGATTTTATCTTTACGTGCTACGTGAGCAGTTGGCAGTGTATGTCTCTGATCAAGTTCCACAAACACTTATTGGCGATCCGGGTAGAATGAGGCAAATCATTACAAATCTCATGGGGAACTCCATAAAAGTAAGATGATTAATATACGTGAATAGTGCAAATAGAAATACAAAGCATGTTGTTATGAATGTTCATTATTTATATGTGTTCTGTTACTTGTTGGCTGAAGATTTCTATCTTTTTTTCACAGTTTACAGAAAGAGGGCATATCTACTTGACAGTTCATGTCGTCGAAGAGGTCATGAGTTGTTTAGAGGTGGAAACAGAATTTCAAAACACAAACAACACCTACAACACCTTAAGTGGCTACCAGGTAGCTAACAGAAGGCAGAGTTGGCAGAGCTTCCAACTTTTCAATATGGATTTACACTTGTCTGAGATGACCTTTGCTCCCATCATGCCTGAAACAATAAGATTGATAATATCTGTTGAAGATACCGGCGTCGGCATCCCACCTGAAGCCCAATCCCGGATATTCATGCCTTTCATGCAGGTTGGTCCATCCATTGCCCGCATCCATGGGGGCACTGGCATCGGGTTAAGCATCAGCAAGTGCCTGGTTCATCTCATGAAGGGGGAGATTGGGTATGTAAGCATACCCAATGTTGGTTCTACTTTCTCCTTCACTGCAGTGCTTACGAAGGCACGCTCCAATGCAAATGCTAACAAATCGCCAGGGTTTAAAGGGATAAATGCATTGGTAGTTGATCATAAGCCGGTTCGTGCCAAGGTTACCAAGTACCATTTGCAAAGGCTTGGAGTCAAAACGGAATTGACCACTGATGTAAACCAAGTTATTCCTAAGATGAACTGCGCATCACTAGTTACAAGGCTAGTGCTAGTTGACAAGGAAACCTGGATGAAGGAATCCCATTCAATGCCTCATTTGCTTAGCAAACTGCGGAGCAAAGATCAGTCAGACCCTCCGAAGCTCTTCCTTTTGGAGAACCCTACTAATTCTATCAAGAGCGGTTCAAATATATCGAGGGAGCATAACTTGAATGTAATCATGAAGCCGCTTCGTGCAAGTATGCTTCAGGCTTCACTAAGGCGGGCTTTGGGCGGAGTAGATAAGGTGAATGGAAAGAATGGAGTCGTTGGCAACTCAGCGTTGGGTAGCCTTCTTCACAAGAGGCAAATCATTGTGGTTGACGACAACGTTGTGAACCTTAAAGTGGCTGCTGGTGCTCTCAAGAAGTATGGTGCAGAAGTAATTTGTGCAGACAGTGGGAAGAAAGCAATCGCATTGCTAAAACCACCTCACAGTTTTGATGCTTGTTTCATGGACATACAAATGCCAGAAATGGATGGGTAAGTCTTTAAGTGGCTGCTCACCATTTCCTTCGAGTATTAATCTGCCAGTCATAAATTACTGAAGTTTTATCATGCATTTTTTTCCAGGTTTGAAGCCACCAAGAGGATCAGAATGATGGAACGAGAGCTAAATGAGCGGATAGAACGCGGAGAAGCGCCACCAGAATGTGCTAACGTTCGGAGGTGGCGAACTCCGATATTGGCCATGACGGCAGATGTTATCCAGGCAACATGTGAGCAGTGCTTGAAATGTGAAATGGATGGCTATGTCTCCAAGCCATTCGAAGGGGAGCAGTTGTACAGAGAAGTAACTCGATTTTTCCAAAGTCATGACCATGTTCAGTAGGTAGGTCTATATGGATTGTAAATTAGTGGAGGATGTCGCCACACAGCTCATGGCATTGGCGCGGAGGAGTTTGTTGAAGCTGCAGTGCTCCCAAGAGTAAGTTCCTCTGTAATTTGTTCCCTCCTATCTGCATCCATGTTTCTTTCTTATTTAAGAATCGAACTAGCGCTGGTAGGCAAAAGAAAATGTGATATGCATATTTATAAAGCTTAAAGCAATTCTTAGCAGGCCTTCTTGCTGAAGTTTGTTTGTGGTGGTTTGGTTCTAAAGGACTACTATTACAATTTCTTAAAGCAAGCTCTGATTTTGAGATCTCCGAGATCATTATATTATACACCGCGGAATCCTTCATGTCTAATGTCATGATTTTTCTTATTATTCCAGGTATGAGCTTAAAAACCTGGAGATGGAGCCACCCAGGCTCTGTTTCTTGGTACACCATCCCACCAAGAGGCAAAGAAAAAAGGTGTAAAGCTCTTGGAGCCGGGACGCACGTGCGGCATTTTGTTCAGCAACTTCTCGGAGACGGTCTGCGTGAAAAAAGGCCGCCAACCATATACGCTGACCGCAGGTTTCAGCTCGACCGGCGTCCTCCGCCTTTGTAATGTAAATGTAAAATGTAGGGAGAGCAAAATTTTCCTTCCTTTTTCCTCCCGGGGAATTGTATGGGTGTACATAATTAGGTGCTGGTGGTTTGTGCAGGAATTTCCATTTTGTGCATTTGAATGTGTTTTTTTGCGCTGTGTGTCCCAAGCTGTAAGTCATCACACATTCAAAGCTGAAGCCTTCCTTTTCTTGAACTCTCAGCTGCTGTGTTCTTCTCCTTTCCTGTCCCTATCAGAGTCCTCAACCTCCTGAAGCCTCTCCTGCTGTTGGTTGGGTTCTCTTCTCTTCTCTTCTCTACCCAGCTAGTAATAAACATGCATATCCTAATGGTGGTGTGGCTTTTGTGGCGTCTCCGTCCGATGAAAACGGCTTTTGCCTGATGTCACCCACCCATGGCTAAACCCTTGTTTATTACGTGGTCCGGGCCGCTGTCATGGGACCTAACTGCCGCATTATGCCATCGTTCCCCAAGGTCTCCAAACTGACGCACTTTCTTGCGGTGGGGGCTAAACTAATCATGGTGGTTGCAATGGTGTAATCCTGTGTTTACTTGCCCCAGCGTTGCCCTTGTGCTTGTCCCGGTGCTTACCGGCCTCCATTGACATATATAATGTCTTTTATCTATGGTTGTGCTGGTGCCTTTGTCAATGAAACCGGCGGATTCAACCACCTTCCATCATCATCAGAAAGAGGAAAACTATGATTGTGTCGATGTCTAGGGTTTTTTCTTCGAACACGAATTTTCGACCAACTTTCATCAGAGAGAAAAGAAAAAATATGATCGTGTCGATATCTATGGGCCTCTGCTTGGAACACATGAACTTCACATGAATCACCTCATTTCCCACAGGAACAAGTTCTCTTCTCTCATTTCAAATAGGATCCCATGGAATCTGATTTGCTGCTACCTGCAAAATAGAAGGGCCAAAGGGAAGGCCAAAATGCTGCCGGAGCACTATTACTCCCTCTGCCTTGCCTTGCAGGCCTGCATCAGGATCATGTAATCCTGTGCTTTGGTTGAATTCACAGCAGGATCATGGAAATCAAAGAAGTGTGAATTTGGCCAATGACCAGTTATGCTTTGCATGTGCACAAGATGGTACCAGTACTACTTGTCATTTACGCCCGATGCCAGTTTCAGGATTTGCCATACATTTATTACCATTTACAGGCCTAGTAGTAACAAATATAAATGGTGGGAGTACATAGTACAAACTTCAAAAGCTTCATCATGCTCCTCATTGACAATTGAGGTCCGTTTCAAATTTGTCATCACATTTATTACCATGTACGCGCCTAGCAAATGTGGAAGATGGTACTCCCTCCCTCCGGTCCTTTTTACTCCGCATATAAGACTTGTCTGAAGTCAAACTTTGTAAAGTTCGACCATGTTTATATGAAAATATATCGACATCTATCATACTAAAGTTATACAATATGAAAATTAAATTCATGACGCAAAACATGGTCAAACTTTACGATGTTCGACTTCGGACAAATCTTTATATGCGGAGTGAAAATGACCGGAGGGAGCCCTACACACAAGGCAGCTGGTATTTAAGCTTCCAGAGCTTCATCATACTCCTCATTGACAATTGAGCTCCGGTCCAGGATTTATCATTACATTTATTACCATGTACACGCCTAGCAAATGTGAAGGATGGTACAACATAGCAGATGGTACTTCCTCATCACACACACAGGCCTTACACCTTCCTAA